CGTCCCCGCGCAGTGAGTAAGACCCCCCCCACACAGCCGAAATGCATGAACACAATCTAAAACAGCAGATGGACCTCTGGTTTTGAGCCGACCTCAAGTGGGTAGAATCCTGCGCGGTGCTGCAAGTGTAGCAGGTGGCGTAGTTTAATTGTGACATCACTGTTGGGCGAGATCACAGGCGCAGAGGCACAGATACACACACACACACACACAAGATCCATCCGTTAGCGACCACAACCAGAAACACTTCGAACCAGAGAGGTCATAGAAGTAAGGCTTCTACGCGTTTGAAGGAAACCTAAACCTTAAAATGACCATTTTGTATATCAAGTACGCACTACCTTGATTTATTTTGCATGGCTACACTTCATTTTTGAGGTTTATTTATTCATTGAATTGAGGCCACTTTTACCAGCACAGACGGTTGAGCCTTCTGATGGCTTTAATCAGACCAGTGCTTCCTGCTCTCATCTTATTACGATTCTTAATATCTTCTGCGAAAAAGCGTCCATCGTATTTTTCCACATGCAGTAAACATCGTCGTGACTGTGTGTCTCCGCTCGGCTTACATTCACATGATTGCCTTCTCTCTCTCTCTCCCCCTCTCTCTCTCCCCCCCTCTCTATTTTTTTCTTTTTTTTTTAACAGTTAACGGAATATCGAGATGTGGTCCCAAAAAAAGAAATCTCTAGCTGGGCAGCGAACTACCATAACCCCCCCATCCCTCCCATCCCCTGACCCTTGACCCTTCTAAGGACATGACATTGCAGGATACAAGTATTAATACGTTTTACTGTTTATTAATGATGAACGTCGTTCCAAACCCCCACCAGGTGGCTGCACACTGTATTTGGACATTATGAAACGAGCATATTGACGTTTTTTTGTTGGTTTTTTAAGATGTTTTGGTATGCATTTTAAATATAAAATAGAGCTGTTTTAAAATCTACTACTGTAACCTCTCCCAAACATGAGTTCCGTATTTTTACCTGTATTTATGTGTGTGCAATACAGAAACATTTGGAAGATCAGAATGTTAAAATTGAGCTTGCTTTAGTTCTGGTGATGTATATATATATACATTGTGATTGTTGATAAAAAAACAAACATTTAAATTGCTATTCTTGCTATCAGAGGAAATAAGAGTTTACGTAAAAAGCAGTTTATGAGCTACATTTATGTTTGCTATGAGCTACTGTTTGAATTGTCCGGTTTCAATCTATAATACTAATTTAAATGTAAAGAAAAGCAGAGCAGCTTCCACTTTGCATCGAGATATGTTTGCCTTTATATCAGTGAAATAAGAAATAAGAGAATGTAGCATATATGTAATATATGAAAATTCAAGACTATCGTGTAGTGCATGGGGGGAATATTGTAAGTAAATCATACGAAACTATAATATCTTCTGTTTGATTTGTGAATCACTGACTTGTTTGCGTTTGTTAATGTAGTGCATCAGTCCCGTCCCAAATGTTTCTAAATGTCCACCAGTATCATACAACTGTTGTAAAAACTACGACACAGCCGTGGTTGACATCCAGCGTGAATATCAGAAGCTCATATCCCAAAAATAAACTCCCGGTTGCTGAAGCACCCTCACATTTTGTATAAAAAGGAGAACATTTTTCATAATGTTTGTACTTGTGCTGTACGACTGTGTGTGTAGGGTTTGTTGATTTTATCCTCCGTCATTTCCAGCGTGTTACTCAGCCAATTGCACAGAGAAGGTGGAGATGATGGAGAAGGCTCAAGGGCACTACGTCCTTCAGCTTTCGCCCGACGGTTGCTCCCATAAGTCCAGAAGAGTCGTCGAAAAGCATTGGACAGAAGAACATTGCCGTCACAGAGGAGGGGGGGCGAGACAGCGGGACGGGGGTCCCGGTGATACATGTCGGGACGTCTTCCTCTGCATTCAGACACAGCGGGACCTCGCCAGCGTCTTCCTCATCCTTCATTCGCTCTTTTCAATTGGCTGGTCTCTTCTTTTGTAAGGGGAACATGTGATAAACATTTGTTTTGACGAAACATATGATGTCAATGCGACGCAGCGCTCCTTACGTGGTGTGAACCTGTTGCCAGCACGGCAATGGATGGCTTAACATGTTTAAGAAATAAATTAATCCGCTTAAAGGTGTGATAGTAAATGACCTTCAACTTGTGTTTTGTACCCTGCTGACGTGGAGCTAAGCGGCTGAAGTTAATCATTAGATGTATTTTGGTATGTTTCTGATCTCTGCTCTATTGTAATGCACATATAATACATTAATACAAAATGTGTGTGTGTGTGTGTGTGTGTGAAGATACTGCTTTATTCAATTATGTTACTAAATCATAATCATGATATTTCTATATCAGTTTAAATACTGATGGTTATTGAAGTTCATAGTGAAATGACAATGTAAACTTTTAATTTTCCACGTAAATTGAGAATATTAAAATGGGAACACAAAAGTCACATTTTACCTAATATTCACTGACCACACGTACGATGTACCTAAAGAATGAAAGTTCAATTTTCAGTCATAACCCTCTGTACAGTGCACAATATTCAGATTTGCATTCAAATAAAAACATGATGAGGCAATACGTAACCTCATGCAAGCAAAATGAAAATGCCTTTTTTTTCTTATTTGAAAATTAAAATTGAAACTATCTGACATTTCCTTTTCAAAGACTTAATCTTTTAGGTGAACATTATTCCAATGCAATAAAAAAAAACTCCCACTTCAAGATACAACCATTGCTTTTAGGCCCTCTGAGGATATTCTGAGTATGAGTTAAGAGTTTGTTATGCGGTTCAATTTGATTCAAGTAATTATTTTTTCAAACGACAGTTTCATGCTTTGTGCAGTGTTGATAATCGCTGGAATTACGCTTTTTCTAATATGTGGGTGATTTATTAAATTGTGTTTATATTTTGATAAACACAAGTGCAGTGGTGATAATTGTTTGTCATATTGTTATTTTTTAGGACATTTCCGTTTTATTTATGCAATAGTCAAGCACCCTATTTAAAAATGCACAACCCGTAAAAAAAGGGAAACCGTACTGAGTTTACTCAGGTATGATGAAGAAAGAATGTTAAATCAGGACTAAATAATAGAAAAGTTACTGTGGTGGAAATTTGTGGATTTAGCCCATGTGAGAAATAAAAAGCATCTTGCTTTGTGATTTAAGTATTGAAGTATTTATTACTAACTAGAATATAGAAAAATGCTAAAGAATACAGAAATCATCAGCACAAGTCGTAAGCACAGACAGAAGTCAAGTGACTACAATTCAGCTGAAAAGGGACAGATGTTCCTTCCCTAAAAGGAGCAGGAAGATCTGACCAAGTTTCTGGGGGGGACCAGGAGCTTTTATACATCTCGTTCGGTTCGAGGAACAGATGTTGTTTTGGGAACCTCCGCGACCCTCTTAGTGGGACCTAGTCAATCATTTTGACTAAGAGGAATAGGAGAAAGGTAAATAGAAGAACACGATATGGTCTGTCCCGGCAACGTATGGATTTCAGGTCACGAGTTTCCCAAGAAAGGTCACATACGAGTTCTTGAGACTCTCACAATATGCACCTCAACAAATTCTCCCCCGACAGTTACTAAACAGGAAAGGGAATAATATATAGATTTTACTTCCAGATCCAGTTCACTATGTGACAATAATGCAAGTGATATTATTGTATGTAAAACAGTCGTATTATTGTATTTCTAAAATATAAATGGGTGCACCTTGCATCATCTCTGAATGAATGGGTGTGAATGGGTGAATGAGATGTAGAGTCTGAGCGCTTAGAGCTGTCTGAATAAGAGAAAAGTGATCCAAGAGTACTGTCCATTCACTATTTAAATATACTATTCAATTCATTATGAATAGCAATTGCATTTTGTAAAAGGAAATTTAAAAAAACTGTATCAAAGAGTGAATATTGGGTCATTTTGTAGTCATTTGAACAGTGAAATAGATCTAGAATATACTATAGAATATCAATACATTGTTAATACAGTACTGTTGTAGTATCTCCAAAAAAGTTATAAGAAAGTAGTTCTGTGTTGTTATAGAAGTTATAGCAGAGTATAGTATGTCAAAAAATAAATAGCATAGTACGTCTGAAAAAGTCAATATACCTGAAAAAAAGTATTGAAATGGCAACGGACCAAATGACGCAGTGGAAGCGGCCTGTCGATCTCAAGCCGTGTTGTCCTGCATTCAGCTTCACCCTCCGCTTTACTCTATATTGAACCACATTTAAAAATTAAACACGTTTACGAAAACTGTCAAACTCGCTATTCAGACACATAAACATGTTTACAATGTTCAATAGTTAATATCAAGACGGAAGTAGTTCTTCATCTTTATACAATCTGATTTCTTTACCCGTGCTGGCGTTTAGGAGGAAGTTTCAGAATCACTACGGTTTGTTGCAAGTATGTTAGACACACAAGGAACTTGACTTGGGTGAACGGTACATAACCTATAAATACGTAACAAGTCACTTTCAAGTCATCTACTTCCCTTTTTTTTGAACGACATGTAAATGGTTACTGCATTAAAATATCTTCCTATCTTTCTTTACTAAACATTGGACAGCGTGCATCTTTTTCGGAAATCACTCCTCACACTCGGACCCCTTTTTCTCAGTAAGCGCGCACAAAGCACCTCTCCCTTTCTCAGATGACACAGCGTATAAATTTGGAAACCCTCCGCGGGCTGCAAACCCCCTTTCTGCACATGTCCATCGACTTACGGTCTTCCATGCAACCATGGAAATGCCATTTCAATAACTGCATGTCATTTCTACTCAAAGTTTTGTATTTGCACTCAAATAACACACACGTCCGTGGAAGACGACGGTGCTAATGTGGAGCTACATCTCTGCTCCCGCGCCGCCTCGGAGGCCCAGTCGGGGGTCGCACAGATGGTAATTTGTTCATTCGTGTTCTACAGTGAACTGGGCTAAAAAAAAAAACATTCACAAGATATAAAAAGATACGACACCGTACATTGGTAGACTTTTATTCTCTATCAGCCATAGACACTGCAGCCATGTTGGTTTTGTCGTTTTGATCTTTGATACAGTAATACATGCCCTAGTAGATATTTGAATATGCATTGTATATGTATATAACTGTCATCATCACACAAAAGGGATGCTGATATTCAAATGAAAAGCATACCTATCACAGTGAACTTCCACTAATTTGCATTTGACACGGTGACAGTGAAATAAATACATTACACGTTGTAGATACATACAGTAGCGACGCTCAGGCCTGTGAGTAATGGTAGCTATACGCTCTCCACCGTGCATGTGTGCATCATTATCTTGTATTTAACCATCTGCCAAAATGAAACCATCTCCGTGGATAAGATAAACTCAACCCTTTACTTACATCCCGTGCACAAAAAGCAAGGAGGTGCTCCCTCCCGACCGCCAGGAGAGTAAACACAGTCGGTGGGAAATACATGTTTCTTTTTCTCTGCTGACAGAAACTGGGACACATTCTTTTATTTTTTACCGCTCGTAAAACACGCGACAAAAAACGTCACACGCAATCCAAATTCACCAGCCAGAAAACCCCCCTCCTGACGATCCCGCCGCTGCCGTACGCAGCACAGCCTCACCCACACATCATCAGTCGAGATCTGACGAAAACCACAGAAAGAGTGAATGCATTGGAACCCGAATAACATGGAGAGACAGACGTGAGAGGAGAGCGAGGCGGGAGGGCAAATCCGTACGACTAGAAAGCAGTCAAAGCGGGGAGGGGGGGTCACTATGACGTGGTGGTGTTGAGTAGTCATGCCCGCCCTGCGTCACATGAGCGATTGTTAATTCCTAGGCTACCGATGTCCGCAGTGTCAAGATTATAGGTCATATAGACAGATTACACATAGGCGACACAAAACACAGCAGCAGCAGTTCAACTCTTTTTTTTTTTCTGTGTGACATCTTTACCTCCTGAATGGAAAGAGCGGAGAGACTAGCATAGTGAGAGGGAGCGTTTTAAAGTCCGGAATATGTGGGAGGCTGTGCAGCGTGAGAGAGACGTTGTCCTGTCCACCTACTCGGAGACGGGCGCCGGTGGGGTGCAGGTGAAGTGCTCTTTATGAGGTCGTGTGAACAGTATCCCTGGGTTCTCTTCGCTCCTCTATCACTCCATCGGGAATAAAAAAAAAAAAAGGGAAACAACGGACAACTTTCTTTGGTCACAAAAAAGAAAAAAACAACATCAGAACGTGAGAAGAGAACGAGAACATCAGAAAAAATAATTGTGGACAAAGTCATTAAAAAGTTGAGTAAAATGGGAAGACGGGGGTAGATTTGAGGTGCACACTGGGATTGCATGTGGCTAATGCATAGGATTGGGGGGGGGGGCATTAGCATGGGCAGAGCTAGAGACTAGAGGAGTGTTCCTCTACTCTTCCTCCTCCTCCTCTCCGTCATTGTCCTTTTCTTCTTCGTTGCAGCGGTGAAAGAGCTGCTGGAGGTCACGTGGTCTTGAGCCTTCTAGAAGGACCTGTTTGTCTGTCCGAGGGCACGACTTCTACGCATGTGGGCCCTGGACGGGGAGCAGGGAGGGGGTGTGAACAAACAAGGGGACACAGGTCAGCATCTTCTGAATACGCAGCTGCGATTCATTAAAAGGAGATGATGCTGTAGCTCAGTGGTTCTCAAACTGTGGGGCGCAACCCTTTGGTGGGGCGCGGAGGTATTAGAGGTATTAGAGGTATTTATTTTTTTATTTAAATTCCTTAGTAATTAAGGAGCAGTGTGAAGCGCTGGGCCTTCAGTGTCTTGCTCGAGGACACTGAGACATGCAAACTATGGACCGTTAACGGTTTAGTTATGTCCACTTCTTCTCTTTAACTCAAAGCGCTCTGACAGGTTTTAGATTTGAACTTAACTGTTAAAGTTAAAACTTAGTTAAACTTACAGTCATGCTTTGTGTTGACTTTGAGATGTGTTTGTGTTAATTGAACTCGGCTGTCAGTTAAAAAAAAAAGAAAAAGACAGAAAAAGGCCAACGTGCTACGAGCAAGTTGACCAGCGAGCGGCGAACAGCTGATCGGGTGGCCGGTGGTCCTTTTCGGGGGTTATTTACTTTTTATTAATGTATTAATTCATGTGTTTACTTGGAAAAGCAATACCGTGAGATACCGTCAGAATTCATACCGTGATATGAATTTTTAGCCAAACCGCACTGCCCTACTTTAAATGTATACAAAATAAAAGATATTTCCAGTATGCTATTTGAATAAGCGGTTAATCTGATCCATGCACGCAAACATTAGGCAATATTGTCAAAACTGATTACCCTGCAGCTGCACACACACGCACGCACGCACGCACGCACGCACGCACGCACGCACGCACGCACGCACGCACGCACGCACGCACAGGTTCTCTCCCAGCACTCACACACCTCCTGAACACAGTTCCATCGTCTTTGTCAGTCTCTCACTCTACCACACGGGGGAGCTCTGTTCTGCTAAAAAACAGTACTCGCTTAAATGGGAATGATCCGATTGTGGAAAAATGAAGAAATCCAAAAGGAGACATTGTCAATATGGATGTGAGCTGCTTAATGTACGAAAAGGCTTACGAGGACATCAGCTAACCTGTTTCTGGGCGGAGGGCAGGTCGGAGGCCAGAGATGGATCCTGCGGTGTCTTTGTCTCTTCACCCTCCACCACCTTTGTTCTTTCCACGCCGCTGACCTTACAGCCTTCAGCCGTCGCCCGGCTTGATGCTGAGAAACCCTCACATGCAGAAAATGTCCCCTGAACCAGGAGAAAAAGTGATTAGTTTGTTATTAAATGTTTTTTTTATATACACAATTAACACTACACAGGTTGCCATCGGTTATTTTCTTAAAAAAAAGAGAACAAACATAAATACAGGACACACACACACACACACACACACACCTGTGTCTCGTCCCCTTCACTCTTCAGAACGCTCCGCTTCACAACCTCAGAGTGTCCACCTGCATCCGCCGCACTGACGGACGCTCGCTCCACGCCGTCGGCGGAAACACACGTCCGGAGAACAGTACGTGTGACCTGAGGAGGTCGTGTGTTTAAAGGGAGTCAGGTGTGAAGAAAACCTGGTGACACTTTATATGAACCATCATTTTAAATGAGAAATGGATACGGTTACTGAAACTTAGTTTATAATTAGTTTTAACAATGAAATTATAATGATAATGTTGATTCATTCTTAGTAATATTAAATTATTATTTGTGGTATTTTAACAGTTTATTGTTAAAAGTATGAAAACATTTCATACAATATTTAGTAGTATTTAATAATTACTGTGAAGAAATAATTTGGACATCAAATATCTATAATCATTACACAGACGGACCAGATTTGTGTAACACTTTGTTATTGGTTAATAACCCGGTTATCATCCTTAGATAAACATTATTTGAAAGGCTGTTATAAAGCCACAACTGATATTATTACAATACTTTCTTAAATGCTTAATAAATACTTTTCCAAAGCATCTGCAATCATCCTTTAGATAAATAGTTAACGATTGGTATCGATCTCATCTTACAAACAAAAGTGTTTAGAAATCAAAAAGGAGATAAATCATGTATTAATGTAATTAGAATGTAATTGTTACTGTCACTTATCAGCTGTGGTGCAATGTATAATTTGTGGTAGTATTATTGATTAACTCATATTGATCATATGATATTACACAATATAATGACAAAATAACATAAATTAGTAGTAGTATTACTAACAATTAGTTAACATTATTAATCAACATATCGTTGTTTCTAGACAGTAAAATAATTCACTATCAACCATTTGTTGTTGATGTTGGTAACACTTGTTAATATCCCATATTCTCAAAGCCAATGTTGTCAATTGAGCAGAATGAACAATTTTACACAAATCACGCATTGATATTGCTGCAAACAAACCAGAAATGGGTGTTGTTTAGCTGTGCTGTCACTACCAGTCTGACTACTGCCATGGGACATGTGCATGACAGAATCTGCCGTTACCTTTTTGACAACGGCGTGCCCATTTTCATCCTGGTACTTTTCTTCTGTCACAGACCGAGTGGGGAGGTCGTGCATTTCATCGGCCTGTGAGGATCAACACAGACAATAATCAGGAGTGCTGACTCGGGTCAGTGCTCGAGTTTATCGGTTTAATCCTCCACTTCAAAAAGAAACACGTTAGAGAGACGTTAGAGACATTTTAGGTTGTACTTTGGAGAGAAAACAGGGACTTAAGGATCCGGGAAACAGACGGGCATTTGTCAAAAGAACAACAAAGACGTGCTCACAGAAACATAAATCACCTCCGCGAGGTTCAGCCATTTATCAACAGCACATTTCGTATCAATCCCAGTTTATTTGAATCCTCAAACACCATTTTTTTCCATCATTTCGGTTGTTAGACAGTTAACATTTGAAGTTAACAGTGAGTACGAAGGCTGGTTGAGGTTTTACTCTGTACGTTACGCACTCTATGCCAATTGAAAGCGTCAGACATCAGATACCTGAATGACAACTCTCCCAACTGGTCATAAATTCATTATCAGAACTTTCTGGCAATGATCCGAACGTCCATTAAGATAATAATAATAATAAAGGTTATATACACATTTATATAAATACACAGTAAGAATATCCAAGCTTTTCACTGGTACTGCATGTTTGCACAAAAGCAAGCAATAAGCAGAGTGATATGGTGCACTTTCCAATTCAGTATTACAAATAGAAACAACAATTAACTTTCATATATGACATTGGAAAGTACAACATGGCAGTCTGTAACTGTAAAAGCAAAACATATCATGCTGTGTTTCAATTAGGGCTGTCAATAAACAATTTGCTAATTAATCGCACATTTTGAAATTCCTTAATCTCGATTAATAGCGATTAATGAATGTTGTTGTTGTTACAATGTTGTGTAAATCTTAAAAGTAATGAGTAATCACTTTAGGAAGCGTGTATTTTAGACACTGTTGTTTAATTGCTGATGTTATTTTAAACACAAAACTACACACATTTGATCATCTTGGAGGCAGAATTTCACCTGGTGGAACATGTTGAACTGGCGACTTTTCCTGTTGTCCTCGTGCACTTTTCTCTCAACTCTCCATAATTTAACGGCTGTGTTTGAAGTGCCAACAATCTCCCCACATTTAGACAGGATGTTTTCAAACCACGGCCTTTGAGGGACAAAGTGGTGGTCCTCTGCAGACCGTGTGCAGGGTAACGTTAAATGTTGAGATGGGTAGCCTAGTAGCTAGCTTAGCATAGCGGTGCTTTAAGTGGTCCGTTTGCCTCTCACCCCCCTTCTGTTTGACACGTGGAGTAATTCCTCTGCACAGTTCTCGCGCCTGTTTGTTTTACTTCCAATGCAAAGAGTTCTCTTCATCCAGATGTAACCGACTGCAGCTAGTGGCCGTTTCGTTTCCGCGGCCAACTTCCAGTTTACGTCAAGTAAACCAGAAGTAAACAAACGTATGTTAACTATGTGTACTAAAATATTGTTAATCTCACACATTAATCGCATAGATAGATTAATGCGTTTAAGTTGACAGCCCTAACTTTAAATGTGGTCTTTGCTGATTTAAGAAACTAGCTTATGATATCACTCTGAGGGATGCAGCCGTTTACAAGGAAGCAGTGACATGCTGAGTTAGGACTGGTTCAAATCTAAAATCAAAATAAAATCAGGGTTGAGTTTTGAATCACATCCATGTGACCAAAGGTTCAGCAGTCATTCCTCCTCTAAAGCAAATATTTAGTTAAGCTCAGCTCCAGGATAAAAAGCTTGCACATTGAGGAGGGTTTACCAAATCTCATCTTACCCGTGTCCTATATTCAACAGCATCATCATATACCCCAGTTTCACAGACAGGAGGTGCTGTTGAAGTCTCACACAAGGAGAATTCTTCATCCGGTGAATGGTGTAGTAATTCTTCTTTCTCTTCATGTACATTATTAGGAGGCTCCAGGACAAAAAGAGTCTCCTCATAATCTTCACTTCCAGAGGACAACCACATTTTTGGATTCCCTTTTTCCCACTCACTAACATGGCAGAGATTACCCTCGGGTTTATCTTCGTTTGACCTAGCACTAGCCTCGGGTTCATCAGGATCCGTCTCTGAGCCATCTGATGCAGCCTGTATGCAGTCAAAGAAAGGTTGTGCGTCAGAGTGTTCAAAGGTTTGGCCGTCTGCACCACTATGTGCAACTTCTGCGTATTCTGGAGGCATGTGGGTATAAAGGGTTGTGGTAGAAGAGACATCTGCATACCCAGATGGGATGCTATACTCCTCATCAGAAGTTGAGGAAGTCTCTGACTTTACTGGAGTCAGAGACTCCTCTGAACGCTGTCCTCTGGCCCTTGGCCTACCTTCATCTGAGGAAACCTCCAAGTTCCCCGGTGAAGGATATGCCATAAGTTCCTCAAAGCTAAACTGTCTGGCAGATACAACTGTGTCCGGAGTCAAATCCGAAAGGGACTGGGAAGAGACATCTTCAGTCTGAGTGGCTTCAACAAAAGTGACCTCCCATAAATGTGTAAGTTCATCTTGGACACTCTGTGTTGGTATTCCTCCCGTCACAACGATTGGGTCTTTAGATGATGAAGCTGATTCACGTTTTTCTGGACTTTGTGAGGAAGATTCTGCAACAGACATTCTACAAAGAGTTGCCAGATCTTCCTCAGCTATATCAGAAGAACTCTTGGCTGGTACTAACACTGTGCTGGACTTGAACATCTCCACAGGAAAACTTGAGTTTGGTGACACCATCACTTCACAAAATCTTTGAGGACGTTCTGGAGTTAAAAGGAACTCAGCAGGAGATGAAGGGCTATCCTTACGATTATCAATAATTGATTGTTCACCAGCCTCAAAGGCTTTGGTTAGATTAGGAGTGACTGAGACAACTTGAGTTTCATCTTGAATGGATGTCTGGACATGTGTAGGCTCCAGGACTGCTGCACGTGTGTGGTTAGTAGCTTCACCGAGCTGGATGGCAGATAACACGCTGACTCCTAGGCTATCACTTTGTTCTGTATGGCACCGATCTCCAGGAGAATGGTCGGCAAAATAACACATTTGATCCCCTTCAGAGCTTTCATCACTGAACTCTGACAGAAGCGGGTCAGGGGTCTCGGTTCTAAATGTAAGGTTCATCGCCTCCAGATCGGACAACAGCTGGTCAAGCTGAGGAGACCCAGACTTGGGTGGTGTTGGTGTGGACTCTGAGAATGTGATGACTTGGTCATCGGGACTTTCTTGAGCTGTTTGAGAGAGTAAGTAGTCCTGAGTCGCTGGAATTGGTTTAGCTAAGCCCGGATTTTCACTTTGTTTTGTGAATGACGTCCTGCCATCTTTTTGCTTTGGTGTGGGACTATTAGCGCTCAATGAGATTTCAGATAGGTCAAAGATACCTGGAAATGCTGATTCTAGTTTTTCAGTGGAAAGTGTATTGGAAACATGTGTCAAGGAGGGTGTCTCGGTTGGAAAGACCTGTGTCTTTCCAGAGTTAAAAAAAAATTGTCTTGGAGATTCTGAAAGACTTGTTCTGGAAGATGCTGTGGATACCTGCAATAAATTATAGAATGGAGTGGAAAAAATACAGATAAATATAAATATTTTGTTTGTGAAAAGATTACTCAAATGAAGCAAGCGTTTGACAATGATCTGGTAGAGCAGTGTCTCAGATCAGGAAATTCACTTGTGGCCCAGTTACATACTTGATACATGGTAACAACATTTGATTGTTACATTGCAGTTTAAACATATGCCACTCATGGAATTATTTACATGCTGAAAGATTTAGATTGTTTAATGTATAGTCTATATTTGCATTTTTGCATTGAAAACACAAATAATGAAAGCAGGGCACAAGTGAACTTCAGTCAAAATCAGCATAAGCTGTAAGATGAAGGTGGACATGCCTGATGCCGTACCCATTCAAGTTAGTGTTTGCTGCCTTGTTAAGATATAAGGGCAGAAAACACCTTTGAATGACAATGCTAAAGCCACTACGTTAAACGTCAAACGTTTAAAAAAAGCAAATACTATTTTAAAAAGTCATGTTGGGTCCCCTACCATGACATTTGAGACCAAATGTGGAAACGGGCCCTTCACATTTCTATGGAAGATGTCTAGCTGCAGACATGCTATCGTGTTGTCACATCTAATATAGAAACTGAACGGAATGGTTGGTTTAGAGTTGTATGTCTGAGGTCTATCTGGCTCTGTTTAACTCATGTTGAATTGAATATGGAACAAACAGCTCACGTAACTAAGAAAGGGTCACTCATTTCCATTCATTGTGCTTCACAAAGAAAATGTCTTGTGCAAAAATGCAAACATGCCACAGCAAGACAAAGAAGCCTCCTGGCATTATTAGTAAAAGGTTGAGGTTCATTTCTAAATTCACACTTAATGTATTACTTTTGAAAACAACACTGCATTCACTGCTCAGCGAGAGCTTGTTGCGTCTTACCGGAGCCTTGCTCTCATCCTCGGTCATAGATTTTCTTTCAAGTTCATGAAAAAACCATCTTGGGCTTGTGTCATCTTTAATTGTGATTCAGGGTTTGTCCGTTTGTTTGTGAATGTTGAATCTTCATTTCACCGATGCTCTTTTTGCTCAAGTTCATGGGAAGGCTCCACCAGCCAGACAGCGTCAAGGTATTTTTTAAATTGTGATCTACAGATGGCATGTGACTCAACTCATTGCAAAACTGGCTAATGCTATATGATCTGTTATAATGTAGTCAAGGTTATATTCTGTCCAAAAAAAAGGCCTGACCAAAATAACTGGTGAATTGTGTTTGAGGAGGAAATTATTGGGTCCCGTCTCAACTGGTGAAGTTAGTAGCATCAGTATTTAAGGATGTTAAATTATTAATGTAAGATGAGGTTCTTTTCAGTGGGATGCTGAGGAATGCTGTAATGGTTTTGGAGTCAAGATGTTGTCAGTATAAAGATTTTATAAATCTTTGAATTTGTCTGCAGGAACAATCTCTTCTGGCAGACTTTGCCCACTAGGAAGCGGGTTTGAAAGGTCCTCGAAATTTTCCATCGATTCAATCATTTGAGGAGTAG